TTTTTTTTTTCTTTTATGTTTTTTCCTTCCTCAAAAGCTACTTGGTTCTTTTACTTCGATTGCTGAACACCACTACCCTTAGCACCTGAAAAACGTGTCATTGGAAGCATTGGGTATAAAGATTCAATTGTTCGTGAAAAATGAAAATGACTCCCTAAGTGGTTCGCTACTACAGAGAATTATATCTCCAGGTGGGCTGGTACCGGCAAAAAATGAAGTTCCAAATGATTTGTTGCTATGAAAGTAATGTACCCGTTGAGAATCTGTCGAATGAGGTCCCAAATCCCGGGTGCTCTTCGTTCCGCGTGTCCCTCGAAACTAGGTCACGCCCTGAAGATAGCACGGACCAGTGCGAATCATTCGCCGTTCCAACTTATTTCTGAACGTTCAGCTCCATCATCAGTAAAGGCTGCACTCAACAACCGGTGTTTGACAACCAGGTTCCCACAATGGATAAATTGACGGCGCTCAGGACATGCGTCTCGGCAGGTAACGGAACTTCTCCCCGATTGCGGCATTCTCCCTTGCGGCATGCGACAAATGTCACTGCAACTACCGTACTCCCCCTCCCCCTCCCTCCCCGCCAATCNTTTTTTTTCTATTTCTTTTTCATTTTTATGTTTATTAGACTTGATTAATTAGAATGACTTCTCCTGTGTAAGCGACGATCAAGACTGCCTTGGAATTGAAGAGAGCGGTCAGCCAATTCAAATAGTTAAAGGATTCCCTACCTCACGGATTGCGCGCTCCAATCTGCCACCGCAATCCTGCGATACGCGGCGGGTGCGGCGTGCGCGACGCCGTCATGAGGGAGAAGTTCCCGGACCCCACTTCCTAATGTGCAGTGTAAGACTGACAAGAAAATCGACCTTTACCCTTAGAGCTTCTAACTTCAAAAACTGGACGAACTACTGGTAACAGTCCAAAATGAAAAATTCCCCTTTTGAAGGAGTACAATCGAAGAGAAATGCCTCGCTTAGGCACGGGAACCTTTCTCGCAAAAATGGAGAACAGGGCAACGACTGAGCTGACGCTCACCCACAAGGGCAGAAATGCAACGTGGCCGCATTTTTAGTCGCTCTTGCCTCCTCTCATGCCTCAACGGTATACGTGGTCTAGGCTCACCGGCAGAGTCCAGTATATGGAGTGTGGACTCGGCCGTTGAGCCAACCCCCTTAATTGCAACTAGTCTAGATCGGTATCGTATCTGTTTCTGTTCGTACTACTGAACATCACTGAGTGAGAGAAGACAGGTAGCAAGAGATTGCTTCAGGAAAAACAGAGAGCCAGTTCTCTTGATCTCTCCATCAATGCTCTTCACGGAGCACACGAGCAGTGCGGTGTACGGTGCAGTGACCTGTACAATAGTCGGGGCCGTCTTGGCCAGACGAGTTCGGCGCAAGCGAGATGGTGCCGGCTACGCCTTTCACAAGCTACTTCCGTAAGCTCATCGGTTTGGAATGAGGAAAGCATGGAACAGGGCAGATTTTTCGCTTGACTGGCACCTAGGGGTACTGTAAGGTGATCTCGAGATCGTATACATGCACAGAGATTGGTCCGCTTAGGCAATAGGAAGTAGTGTTGAACGAAAACGATTGGGAGCCTGATGTGAACTTAACTTCGTAAGGCTGATCAGCGTTTGCCACCTGCCCCCTTATTTTTCAGCGTTCATGTGGATGGAAGCAGATCCCTCTCACAAAAAGTAAGATATGCTCTCCCGATTTCATTTTTCCTTTCACTGTACTGGCCCGATCATCGCAATACAGCGAACATGCCGATGGTCGACTTAGTTACACCAGCAGACCAAAAATTGGAAATTTTCTCATTGCATTCTTCCCTATAGTTCGTAGAAAGGCACAACCATAAGTGAGCCCACCATATCCATTCAGCTTGGACTGGAATGCGTGACTTGAGGGAATTCGTGGCTTGATCCTCCCAGACGGGACTGATTGATCTGAGAATGAAGTTGTCTGCGGACTAACGACTGCGAGGAAATGGAGGGCTTGATTGAGTGGACCTAGCAGAGTAACCACTCGGCAGGATTCGATCCTCGAACCATGCATGTGTGGTAAGCGCCATTTGCCACTACACCACCAGAGCATTGTATAAACCTAATAGTAGGGTTTTTCAAAGAGGCATGGTTTTCCAAGATCTGTGCTTCAGCAAGTTCAATGAATGAAGTATTGGCCATTCATTCCCACCTGGTCACCTAACTAGAAATGAGCACTGCTCCACCCCCGTCCTTATGCCTTTTGGCTTGTTCCGACTCATTCGAAGCTTCTTTTCGCATGAGATTCTCGAATAACACAGTTTTTTATTTCTGAGAGCTAGAAACATTAAACTTCAAATTCAATAATAGATAAATCAACTACAGTACAGTTTAGGTTCTACATTTCAATTTTTAAGTAGATACAAATAATAAATGATAATGGATACAAAGGGTGGTATAGAGCTGCTAATCGACTGTAAAAAGCGTAGAACGGAGAGGGGTCAGATGAAAAGATGAGTGATGGGATTATCGAGCCGATCTTCGATTTCACAAAAAAAAAGTTATCGTTTCACGCCATCGGTCGATCTTCCCATCGGATCTTTCCCTTCCCTACATGGGTGAAACGGCAAGCCGACATACGATAGAGGTCGCCAAGACAGAATCAGCCGTATTTTATCTTCTCAAGGGGATATTTCGAAGTGAACACATCACAAGGATTACATCTTATCGCGGAAATCATTCCTAGAATTGAAAACTGGCAATACTCGTAGTCAACGATAATAAAACGAACTGAGCACATACAAAGTGCATTAAACGTCCAATGAACCGATTTACCAGTTCCTCAGAGTAGTATAAACACTACAAAGCGAGGAATATGCCTAGATTAAAGCAAGCGCCCGTGAACTGATGCAACCATAAACAGTGAGAATTCATGGGAGTGCACCCATCACCGAGTTACAGTACCGCAAACTTGTGCCAATACCTTCAGCAAAAGGAATCGCTCGTGATTCAAGAGCTTCCATCTATATCAGTGTATTTACAGACATTAAGAATGACCGTAACCCATCCCGAAATTATTTTTCTATGGCTGCGTAAGCATTGGATAGCGAAATGAACATAAACGATTGGCTAAGATAGCCCTAAAAATCCGCATTCTAGCCAGTTGGAGTCATCCGTATAGATATTACCCATACCCGGGGTAAAACAAACACCATGGGAGCATGGCTAAATGCACAATGAAAAGAATCAGCACAAATTCATCTATCGAAGAAGAAGATTATGACCAGATTGTTTTCGAGACAATTAGACTTGAATATTCGAAGCTTGCAAACCAGATAAGTTTTGAGAACAATGTGAAGGGAGGCGAAAAGCAGATGGTGGGAATCTCCTGGAAGACAGCCTGTCGTTATCGAAGATCGATGATTTTGTCGACTACGAGGTAGTCCGGAACGAAAATATCTTTCTTTGCCTGACGATAGCACAGCCGCACTTTCAGCTTTTCTTTGTCGTCCCAGATCTAAAGCACAAAAGTAAAAAAAAGTGATGTGGCTAGTGTGGCAGTCGATTCTGTTGGCATTTATGATTGATTAAAGAAAGAAAAGAGCTTCGGTTCAAGTGATAAGCGCATAAAAAGAGCAATTACGAGAAAGCTCATAGTATTTTCAGGTCTAAAGAAAACTCCAAAAAAAATTACACGCAAATAATTGTGGGTGTCAATTGGGAAGATTGCAAAATTAGATGGAATGTTGATTAGAAGGTTAAAGTTAAATACACCCTCGTGCCCGGTTTTCTATAGCCTGATCAAGACTTACTTAACCCGTGTAAAATTTTATGGCTTCTGAGTTGTTCGCCGTGTATAATCTATATGTTT